GCAAGAAAGACTGTCTGACACAGATGCACGATGGCGACGAAAACATGGCACACTCACCTGCCTTGGAAGGCCCCACGGAGATGGAACTCATGCCCCTCTCTCCCGAGGATGTTCCCGTCACCAATAAAAGCATTCATATCATGCATGCAATATTTAAAAGCATTCCTGCGGCCTGATTTCAGACAAATCTATAACGACCTGTGGAAAGACATTGCTGAAATAGGGGGACAAACCAGCCACTTGGAAACTAAGGCTGAGGAATTGTGCACAGCGCATAACGAAGTGGTAGATAAGCTGCAGAAACTGGAGGAAAAACATAATGCCATGAAACACAAACTAGCCAATATGGAGGACAGGGCGAGGTGAAATAATATCCACTTCCGCTGAATTGCCGATATTGTCTCCCACAAAGCCTTACCAAAATATCTTAAGGCCTTGTGTAAAACCCTTGTTCCTCAACTAGATGAATCCGCATGCATGTTTGACCGTGTGCACCGTTTACCCAGACCAGCTTGCTTTTCTGCGGACACCCCGAAAGACTTAGTTGCACGTTTCCATTACTACAGTTCTAAGGACCAGTTACTCAACACAGTAAGGAAACTCTCCAGCATCCCGGAACCGTACCAGGGAATCCAGATGTACGCAGACTTGTCGGCATCCACAATGTCAAGAAGACGAAAATTAGTCGACGTTACCAAAACACTCCGCAACCACAACAGATGGGGCTATCCCACAAAACCGTTGGTGTGGCACAGGGGAAGGTCATCAGTGATTCTGGAACCTGAGGTGGGGATGGTGAAACTAAACGAATGGGGCCTACATCACGCTATGGAATCCACTTTGCCCCGCCACACATTGCCAAAGAAGATAAGGCCAGAATGAAAGATGGTGGGATCCCCTGTAGGGGACCAGCGCGAGTTTTGCTGATTAGACTGGACTTACCAGCTTCAATATTACCCAGCACTAGAGTATCACAAGTTTTGCTAATCGCATATATTTTTCTCTTTTCGTATTTCTTATACAACTCCTGTAGAGCTTGAAAGTTAACTCTATTTTTAAAGTTACTATGCGTTCTTATACACTCCATCCTGGTAGTTACTCTACGTGCTGACTTTTAACAAAGGTTTTATGCTAGCACCTCTTAGATATAGTATTTTTCCACTTTTAAGTGGGCTAATGTATATGCATTGTACTTGCATGATGATTTGTAGCAATGGGTACATGTGGTCAATCTCACAAAAATGCCAATGCACATGCCTTCAAATAGTCAACAAGTACCTGGGTTCTTAATTTTTAATGAATGACCTTATGCTCACTCCAGAGCCACTGTCACCTAGTAAATACACGGAGGCGGCTACTTCATGTAATAATTCCCTATATGTCAGTTTAGGGGCTGATAACAAGGCCAGCCTTAGTCTGTTCCTAGCTCATGTAATGGTGCCAACATATGCCACCACGCAATGCGAGACATAATGGCCACATCTCGGGCTGACACTAAGGGCAGTATTTTTCTGGAAGGGCAACTGCCCATACATTCTTTACTGTACAGATGTTACGGTACTAGCACTTCTCATCTACTACATAAAATATAGCAGATATGTCACATGCTACTACCAGGCCACTCTTTAGGAGTTCATTATAATTTATAATATTGTTATGTTATATGCGTTTACTATTTGTTTGGCTATGTTACTGCTTAAAATGGGCTACATATTGGTGGAGAATCTATCCGCCTCACCCCTTGACCGAAATATGGGCAGGGTCCCCCCTCTCTGCCATCTCAGTCTCACTCTTTGTTTGTTAAGCAAAGGCTTCATGTATATACCTTATTTTTTCTATGACTTGCTATTCTCTTTATTTTACAGTTTGTTTATTTACACCCTACGTGTCCTTTCACCACAAAGTGAATACCGACCATACACGTGGTCAGACCAAGCTTGTACTTAATGGTATCTCTACACAAATGATGCATAGCGCTAAGGGGCGACCGCTGGGGCAGCCAGAGCTGGCAGCGATGGGCCTAGCACATCCTACTTACACTACTCCCTCCTAGCAAAGCACTGTATGTATATATTAAGGGATCTAGTTCTCCAAGTTATACCAGATCCATGACTACACCGACATTTAAAGGACTAAATAGCCCGCACAAACGCTGCCTAGCAGTACTAGACATGCACAAATCCCAAGCAGCAGTGATGTGCCTTCAGGAAACTCTTTTATGCTCCCGTATCCCCCCCCCACAACTATATACAAAAAAAAATAACCCCAAGCATATCATGTCTATTTCCCACACAAATCTAAATCTCAGACTGGGTCTTCCAGGAAAGCGCACAATATATGGACTCGATGGGCCGACTATTGATCCAGCCACAGAATATCTAAGCTGGGTTAGGAGGGGGAGGGCTTGCAAATGCACCAGACAAGAGAACTGCAGCTTTTAGCAAGCTGTTTTTAGATGTACTACTAGTTGGGGGAAAATACATAATTAAATATATCCATTTTCTCATTAAAAGGACACTAGGCACCCAGACCCCTTCATCTCATTGAAAAGAACTGGTTGCAGTGTCCTAATTCCCTTAACCCTGCACTGTTTTAGATAAACTGCAATGTTTTCATTGCAGGGTTAAAACTGCCAGTAGTGACTGTCTACTAGACAACCACTAGAGGTTCTTACTGCAGATTCACAGAGTTTTTGAATGAGGACTTCCAGCATTTTGACATTTTTAAAAAAATTATTTTTTTATAGGAAAGCCTAATACTTTCCCTGCGCATGAGCATTAGGTTCCCGCCCTCCTTCTCCCTCCTCCTGGCTGACATCGGAATTTTTAATTATATTTTTTTTACATTGCCAGGTGGAGGGCTGCAAAGGAGTGGGAGGCAGATGGTTCCTATAGTATTAGGAATACAGCTTTCTATTCCAAATACTATACTGTTCCTTTAACGGTATATCTACTAAACAGTCAGCGATTTTATTTTATTTTTTTGGACAGTGTGACACTTTAAGTAATGGACAAAAAAGCAGCTACTCCAGTTGTTTTGTATTTCTCAATTTGTGTGTTTTCTTTAAAGTTTTAAACAGACACTCCTGGCTAGCCCTAATGTCATTGGCAGCTTTTTCTAACCACGAAGTGTTACGTTTGGAACAGGATTTATAGTGCATCTGGTTCCTGGTGCTTCTTTTCCTGGCCATTAAACCTGCCAACGAAAAAAAAATAAAAAAAAAATCTGTTGGTTTGTTCTGTCCTCGCATACTCGGCTCTCTGTTAAATACATTAGATTGTGTTTGTATACTGATCACTCTGAGGGCTATTTAATTCCCTTAAACCGAGACCTGTCGTTCAATGGAAATTGTGAAGATGTTTGCTGTGCTAACCTTCATTCCTGGTGTCTTTGCAGGGAATATTTGGCGGTATTTAAGAAGACCGTATCGGTCCATGAAGTTTTCCTACAGAGACTTTCATCTCACCCTGTATTAAGCAAGGATCATAATTTCCATATATTCCTTGAATATGATCAAGATGTAAGCACCCTTCCTGTTTAAAAGGAGTTATAATGCTGAGACAGCTGCTATGTGCTATTTTCGATAATTTCATAATCTGTGACAATTTTATTCACTTAACATCAACCCGTGTATAGAACTGTGAATTGAAAACTCTATTGCAAACGTAGCCAACCCATGACTATTTCAGAGATGGAAAATATCTCCAAATGATTTTTGTTTATTCCAAATCACAAATTTCTGCTTAAATTTCACAATTCTGTTTTCATTTTTCTCCATTTTGTATGTTTAGTGAATAACCCCATTTGTGTTGGGTGTAAAGGTTTAGTAGACAGAAGAGGTTTAATCATTAAACAGGAGATCCACTGAATTTATAACATTTAGTCCTGAATTAACAGTGCTGGATATATTTGCTGTGTTCTCAAATTGGCTACTTTAGACTTCATCAGATTTACTTATTGGATCTCCAGCACTCCATGTTTAATATATAAATGCATTAAACATTGTAAAGAAGGCAATGTTCCATACAAACCTGGATTTCTAAACCTGCATTTTAAGACCTATTTATTTTTTCATGTTGCTGCCTATGCGAAAGTGATGGAATGTCTTGTTTTGTTTTTATTTCCTGTGTGTGTGTGTGTGTGTGTGTGTGTGTGTGTGTGTAGTATATATATATATATATATATATATATATATATATATATAATTTTTTTTTTTTTTTAAATGTCAGCAGTGTTTGTCCTCATCTCTTGCCTATATTTATTTGCCATCTCTGCCACAGGCTTGTATTCTCCATAAGTTTTACTTGCGTTTTAGCACATTGAAAAAAAATAATTTTTTATATATATATATATATATATATATATATATATATACACACACAAAGAAGAGTTGCTTTGTGTTGAATAATTACAGAAATGGCAAAACTGCAGTTCAGAATCATTTTCACCAGCTTTGTTTGGTCTTTTCACGTCAGCTGATCAGTGATAACTTACTGAGAAAAGGCGTCATCTTGCGATAATAACTAGGTGTAGAAGGTGTTTCCTTGTGCGTTCATGAGGGGGTATGTGGAGGACCCGTATCACTGAACCAAGTTTTTCAAACTAGTAAGGATTACTCCTGCCATATTGAAACAAGGTGGAAAAGTGGTGGGATTTTTTTTTTTTTAAAGTATATCTATCCCTCCCCTTTTATTTCTGTAGGCACAGCCATCAAGCAGACATGTCACTGAGTGCGTCTTTATAAAAATACAGACTCCCACAAGTGGACAGGCTTGCCTTAAGCCAAAAAGAGCCGATGATGTCTGCCAGGAAAGAGTAGGACTATGCTCTAAACACTAGAATCTTCTACTCTAATATAAAGTCAAATCTTTGTTTTAATGGGAAACTCTGAGTCAGTAGATCACCTACAACTCCTGGCATTGAGTGAGTGTTGTTTTGAAGGATGAATGTTCTAATTGCCGTTTAGAGTCCTTTAACTGCTTCATATTTCTTTAAAAACAGATCATTCTTATAAGCCCTTTCTTTACATGTTGCTCTACAATAGATGTTTTGGCTTCCAAAGAAAAAAAACATTTTGTGCTACTCATTTCAGCACAAAAAATAAGTACTAAAAAGGTGATAGACTCTAAAGAACAGTATTCTGACAATGCAGACCTCCCTTTTATCTACAGGCAGATTTTATTAGGAATAACCATCATTAAACATACATTTTTAATGCTTGCAGTTTTTTATTTTTTTATATCTTGTAATAAAATACTTCTATGTAAATCTTTGCTTGTTCCAGCTGTGTAACTGTTTGCATTACTTTCTGGGGCATAGAAAGGGTTAACAATGGCCCCTGCATTGCTTTCTGGGATGAAGAGTGGGTTAATCACGACCAAAGTTACTGTTACACTTGTCTACATAAACCCCTACATTACTCTGTGTGAGTGAGAGTTATAATTTGTCGGTTTATCTAACATATAAACGTTTATCAGCTAAACGTTTAGCAAGTGTTTGACTAAGGTTTATGGGAGTTTTTAGCCTTAATGCTTTTGCCTATCTCTGACTTGTATTGTAAGCACCATCACTGAATGACAGCTGCTCACCACAGTGTACTATTGGATGTTTAAATTGACATTATCTATTTTGCTGTTTAGTTAACCGTACGACGGAAGAATACTAAAGAAATGTTCGGTGGATTCTTTAAGAGCATGGTTAAAACGGCTGATGAGGTTCTCTATTCTGGAGCAAAGGTGAGCTTAATGAATGACCTGTGTGTACTCCTTTCAGTGCTCTGCTATGTGCCAGGTTAGAAAATCAGCTCTTCATGCATTTTGAACAGTGTTATTTTTGGCAGCAAATTTCAATTTAGTCAATTTAGTTTTAGTCATAGTCTTGTCTCTGACATTTTAGTTGTAGTTAAGTCATCTGAATTGTTTTAGTCGACTTGGATGTCATACACTCTATTTTTCTTTTCACTTTGCAGTTTGTTGCAATTTCACATGTCCTAGATCCCATAAAACTTAGCCTTTACATAGTTCCATAGTTACATAGCAGAAAAGAGACTTGCGTCCATTAAGTTCAGCCTTCCTCACATTTGTTTTTTGCGGTTGATCCAAAAGAAGGCAAAAAAACAAACAGTTTGAAGCACTTCCAATTTTGCAGCAAGCTAGGAAAAAAATTCCCTCTTGACCCCAGAATGGCAGTCAAATTTATCCTTGGATCAAGCAGTTAGTACCCTACATCAGTGATGGCGAACCTTTTTGAAATGCAATACATGCCAACTTTTTTTTTTCCCTCAAAGTGCCTACACGGCAATTAAACCTGAATACTGAGGTTTAAGTTTAGAAAAAACAACTCGTACAGTTGTACGGAATAATTAACAACTTTTGTTTTAAAAGAAGAACCCAACAGTGAGTTCAATTATACAAATTTTAAATAATGATATAAATAGATAAAATTAAGCTTATATTAGTATCGCCAACAAATCCAATACATATACACCGACTGCTGAATACATATACACCGACTGCTGAATACATATACACCGACTGCTGAACACATTCACACACCGACTGCTGAACACATTCACACACCGACTGCTGAACACATTCACACACCGACTGCTGAACACATTCACACACACAGTCCGTGGGGGGTGTGGTGGGGGGTGGGTGTGTGTGGGGGTGGTGTGTGTGTGTGTGTGGGGGTGGGTGGTGTGTGTGTGTGTGTGGGGGTGGTGTGTGTGTGTGGGGTGGTGTGTGTGTGTGGGGGTGGTGTGTGTGTGTGTGTGTGTGTGTAGTGTGTGTGTGGGGAAGGGGTGTGTGTGTGTGTGTGGGTGTGGGGTGGGAGGTGGGGTGTGTGGGGTGGGTATGCATGGGTGGTGGGGGTGGTGTGGGGGAGGGGTTGCTTTGCTGTGGGGGTAGGGTAAATACATTTAAAAATATATATACCCCAGAATCCTATATATAAATTCTGTATCCTCCCTTCCTTCCCTCCCTCCTCCTCCCTCTCCCTTTCCTCCTCCCTCCCTTCCCCTCCCTCACTCTCCTCCCTTCCCTCCTCCCCGGCCTTTCCTCCCCTCCTTCTTCCCTCCTCTTTCCCTCCCTCTCTCCTTCCCTCCCTCCCTCCCTCCCTTCCTCCCTCCCTTCCCTCCCTCCCTTTTCCCTCCCCTCCTCTTTCCCTCCCTCCCTTTCCTCCTCCTTCCTTCCCTTCTCCTTTTCTCTCTCTTCCTCCTTCCTTACCTTTGGTGAAGGGGAAACACAGCCATCCCCGGTGGTTCGGTGGTGGTAATTATGTTTCTGGCAGCTAGGAAGCAGCTCTCTTGTCCTCCCGCGCAATGCTGTGTGGAGCGTTGCCATGTTAACGTGCGGCAATGCTTCACACTGCATCGCGCGGGAGGACAGGAGAGCTGCTTCCTAGAGCCCTCCCCCTGTCCTCCCAACATGGAAACAGAGTAGGCGCCTGCCGTTTCTGGCAGGCAGGTGCCTACTCTGCAGACAGCCAGCGGCCTCTTGTCCCGGCGACCTATGGCCGTGTGCCAACAGAGAGGGCCCAGCGTGCCACAGGTTCGCCATCATTGTCCTACATTGAAAGATTATATCCTTGAATATTCTGTTTTTGCAAGTATGCATCTAGTAGCTGTTTGAACATCTGTATGGCCTCTGAAAAAAACACTTCTTCAGGCAGAGAATTCCACATCTTTTTTGTTCTTACAGTAAAAAAACCTTTCCTTTGCCTTAGAGGAAATCTTCTTTCTTCCAGTCTAAAGGCATGACCTTGTGTCCTATGTAAAGTCCGGTTTGTGAATAGATTTCCACACAGTGGTTTGTATTGCCCTGGATATATTTGTATAATGTTATAATATCCCCTCTCAGGCAACGTTTTTCTAAACTAAATAGGTTTAAATTTGTTAACCTTTCTTCAATGCTGATATGTTCCATTCCTTTTATTAATTTTGTAGCCCGCCTCTGCACTTTTTCTAGTGCCATAATATCCTTCTTTAGAACAGGTGCCCAAAACTGCACAGCATATTCAATATGTGGTCTTACCAGTGATTTATAAAGAGGCAAAATGATATTCTCGTCCCGAGGATGAATGCCCTTTTTCATGCATGACAATATCTTACTGGCCTTGGCCACTGCTGATTGACATTGCACATTGTTGCATAGTTTGTTGTCTATAACCATTCCCAAATCCTTTCGTGTGTTGTTATCCCTAATTTGCATCCATTAAGGGTATACGTTGCTTGTGTATTCTTTACGCTGAAGTGCATAACTTTGCATTTTTCAACATTCAATTTCATCTGCCATTTGAGTGCCCAGTCCCCCAGTATATCTCAATCCATCTGCAGCAAAGTAATATCTTGCTCACATTGTATTTTTTTACAAAGTTTTGCGTCATCTGCAAACACTGAAACATGACTTTCAATGCTGTCTTCAAGATCATTTATAAACATGTTAAATAGAAGGGGTCCCAGAACAGACCCCTGAGGGAAACCACTTGCCAGCTCTGTCCAGCTTGAAAATGTACCATTAATGACAACTCTTTGTTCTCTGTTTTTAAGCCAATGTTCTACCCAAGAACAAGAATTTACATCTAGACCTATTTCCTTGAGTTTGAACACGAATCTATTGTGTGGAACTGTATCAAATGCCTTGGCAAAATCCAAATAGATCACATCCACTGCAACACCCTGATCTATACTTCTACTTACTTCTTCGTAGAATGCAATCAAGTTGATTAAATATTCTTTAATGGATTTTGTTAAAGCCTCTATCTGTCTCTTTTGCTCCCTTCCCCAGCCCCCCTGTGTCTCTTTGTTTCCTCCCTTCCCCAGCCCCCTAGGGCAGCACAAAACCAGGATACACCACTGCCCCCATGTGTCTCATTTGCTCTCCTCCCTCCCCTGTGTGCCTTACTTCCCAGTGTTAATTTTGGCGGCAAATCTTTATTTAGTTTTAGTCAGTCTTTTGACTAAAAAGCCATTTTATTTTTAGTCGTATTTTAGTCATCTTAATTATTTTTTTTTGAATTTGACAATTTTTATTGTACAATGCTCGAGATACAGTCATGACATTCAATATACATTGTATGCAGATTACCCGATCCCCCATGACGTTGTTAGGTATTACAGACATTATAAATTCGTATTTATTCTCCCCTGCCCCTCTAAAGGGTTCAGGACTGTAGGTGGTCGTACAGGGGTGTATCGTGCATATCTGTGCAAGGTTACCTGGCCGGGTGTTCTGTGCGCATCATTGTCAAGCATCGTACTTTTCGGGAAAACGAGTAGGTAGGATAGGGGGTGGTTGTGGAGTGGGGGGGGGGAAACTTGGGGGGGGGAATGAGAGACTAGTTGCGTTGGTTATGTCGGTTCTTTTTGTAGTCCTTCTGATCGTAGGAAGTCGTCCCACCTGTTGTGAGCTAGAGTCATGTGTTTCTTTCCACCAAATTGTCGTGCATATACTGTCTCGTAGGCCCAGTTCAGTTTTATTTGGTTTATGAGAGCTTCTCGTGATGGGATTGTCGTTTGTTTCCATAGCCTAGCAATGCATGTGACTGCGGACATAAGGATGTGGTATGTTGCTGCCCACTTATCTTTAGTAAGTGAGTCTGGTGGAATGAATAGGATGCATAGTTCCAGTGTCAGTGAGATTTGTGTTTGTGTGGTGGCATTTATGATTATTTGCACCTCCTGCCAATAGGATTTGATGGTGGGGCACGTCCACCAGACGTGAGACATGGTGCCTTTACTCTGGCCACATCTCCAGCAGGTGTCGGAGGATCGCGGCCACATCTGGTGGAGTCTGGATGGTACCAAATACCATCGGTATAACAGTTTTCGCTGCATCTCAATATGAGTAGCACAAGATGTTACACCTTTGTACGAGGAGTAAGCCTTAATCCAGTCTGTCAATGGGATTGTTCTGCCTAATTCTCTATGCCAGGATTGAATGTGTGTTTCTTTGCCCTGATCTAATGCTTGGGTCAGTGCTTTGTAACTGATGGAGATTAGTTTTTTCATTGGTTTTCTGTGTGTGCATATCTGTTCGGTCATCGGTCTTGTGGCTGCAGCAGCCGGTCCGTTAGGTTTGTTTTTGGCTAAGTAAGATTTAATTTGGAGGTATGCGAAGCCTAGTCTGTGGGGTAGTTGAAATTCTTGTTGTAGGTCCGGAAATGGTTTTAACCCCTTGTCATTGTATAACTGCCCTATTTCTTGGATGCCCATCTGTAGCCATAGTTGTGTGTTCAGGTTCGGTATTACATGTTCTAGGGTGCTGGTTGGGGCTGCCAAAGGCAGTGGGTGGTATCGCGTCATTAGGTGCTTCGTGGAGTCCCATACATGTAGGGTATATTGAGTCGTGGGTAGGAGGTGACTAGTATCTGTCCTATGTGATTTGGGTGTCCACAGGATGGAGTGTAGTGTCGTTGGGTGGGCCCAGCTGTTTTCTATTTCCAGCCACTGTGGGGCTGTGGGATGTTGTCAAAATTGTGGCACTAGCATCAACGTTGCCGCTTTACAATATGCTTTTAGGTCTGGGAAGCCTAGTCCGCCCTGGTTTATCGGTCTTTGTAATAGGTTGTTCGCTACTCTGGGTTTTTTGTTTTGCCATGTGAAGTGCGTTAGCAGTTTCGTGAGTGCTTTGATGTACTTGTCTGGTACTGAAATTTGTAGTGTTCTGTATAGGTATTGGAGTTTGGGTAATAGTGACATTTTTATGGCCGCGATCCGCCCCACCCAGGACAAGTATTTCCCCTCCCAGGAGCTCAGTAGGGATTTAAAAGTTTCTAACAATGGCTGGTAGTTCGTCTTGAAGAGAGACATGGGGTTTTTGGTCATTTTAGTTCCCAAGAAGGTAAGGTGATCATCCCTCCAGTCTAGAGGGAACGAGCTCTTGAGGTTCGTCAGTTGTGTTGCGGGGAGATTGATACTTAGTGCCTGTGTCTTAGTGACGTTCAGCTTATAATATGACACTCGTCCGTATTCCGTGATGTGGTGCATAAGGTTAGGTAGGGATATGTGTGGTTGCGTTAGAGTGAGGAATATGTCGTCAGCGAATAGGCTTAATTTGTATTCTTTCTGACGTAGTGTTACCCCATGGATTGCTGATTCCATCCTGATCTTGGCAGCCAGTGGTTCCAATGCCAGGACGTAGAGCAGCGTGGAAAGCGGACAACCCTGGCGGGAGCCATTAGAGATTTTGAATTTGTCCGAGCAGAATCCTGCGTTTAGGACTTTAGCCGTGGGGCAGCTGTATAGAGCCTCTACTGTGTCTGTGAATTGGGAGGGAAAGCCATATTTCATCAGTACCACCTTCAGGAAGCGCCAATTTAATCTGTCGAAGGCTTTCTCCGCATCTAAGGACATTAGTAGGCTACCTGTCCCCTTCCGTCTTATGCTGTGTATTAGGTCCAAAACCTTCCGGGTGTTGTCCGTTCCCTGCCTCCCTGCTACAAATCCCACTTGGTCGTTGTGAATGAGAGATGGGAGTAGTGAGCTCAGTCGCCGGGCATATATTTTGGCGTATAATTTGGCGTCTGTATTGAGGAGGGATATTGTCTATTCTGGTGTACGTATTGTGTGTAAGTGAGTGATACGTGTAATCCTTTTCTTGAGGGTGTAGGACTCGCCATACGTCATATAGTTTATTGATATCTAATAATTTAAGGTATGATGCGCAAGTCCTGCGGTGGTTTGTTTGCACCACTCTGCCTGCATGGGACGTTGTGTCGTTTTTGGGATCTATGATGTGGTTAAAGTCCCCACATAAAACCAGTATACCCTCCTGTATTGGTCGCAGTATGGATAAGATTCTGTGTAGGAAATCTCTTTGCTTCGTGTTCGGGGCATATATGTTTGCTAGGGTATATTTAGTGTTGTTGATTGTGCATACTATTATTGTGTACCTTCCTTCCTTGTCTGTCTGTAAATGGTGGTGCTGGAAGGATACTGTGTTGCTAATCAGTATTGATGTCCCTTTCGTTTTTGTCCCTGCCGTAGCGTGGTATTGGTGTGGGTACAAGGATGGTTTTAGGGTCGGTGGCGTTTTAAAATGTGTTTCCTGAAGACAGACTATGTCAGGCTGGTCTCTTTTAAGGTCTCGGAAAAGGCAATGTCGCTTATATGGGGTATTCAACCCTCTAACATTGTAGCTTTGTATTTTCATACTTTAGGTCAGTTGCTTGAATCGCTAGAATTCGTTTATGTGATCTTCGTATGGGGTAGGCTGAGCTTGTTGCTGACAGTGCTTGGGGTTTGTCCTCGCAATACTGGGCAGTGGTGTGGGCCTGAGTTGTGTGTTTAGTGGTGGTGAGGGCGAGTTGCGCTTGGCTATTGGTGGGCCCAGAGGTTGTCAGTTTGTTCAGGTGGGTGTCACCTTCTTGTTCAATGGGTGCAACTGTCTCTTGGAGTAGTGTCGAGGGAGGAGAGGGGGGAAAGAGTGTAGTGGGGTCATACTGTGAGGGTATGAACATTGGAGGGGTAAAAACTATAGCCCCTGGATGGGCTTTGGTTCCGGCTAGCGGTACCATGAGAGCGTGGTTACTCTGAAGTAAAGAACAGTAGTAAGATTGGCCTGTGTCAGTCCGTTGTGACCTGCGGTTGGTCAGTGGAGTGCCACTTTACGACTGTTGGCTTTGCGGTGAGATACAGGAACTTTGGGCTGCGGTTGTCACTTGGGTTCAATCTGCTTGCGTCAACAATGGTTTTTTTTTTTTTTTAATAAACTTCAGCTGGAGGCCTGTGCCAGCGGTGCCCCCCCCGGGGGAGTCAAGGGCAGCAGGGGGTTGGCGGTGCATGACTGAGGTTGCTGCCTGGCATGACGTATTGGCTTGGTCGCCTAAGGTGTGTGGGAGGTTGTGGAGGTCTCGCTATGGTCTAGTTGTGGCGGGGCGGTTCAGTGTGCGCCTCGCTTAACCTCCGGTAGAGTGACCTCTCCTTGGAGGCCTCATGGAGGGGAGGGTATCGTGTGCGTCAGGGCTATCCCGTTGGCCTGTATGCTTAGTTTGCAGCTATCTCTGGCATATTATGCAAACATCCAAAACAATCATATTGCAATACATAATAGGCTTAATCCCACTCCCCCCAGGCTGTAAACGGGCTGTCCCGTTCGCATACACGCTGAATTGGCAGCTGTGCCTCATACGCTATTCAGTACCCGAGACAGTCACATTGTGATACCTTTGAACATAATCACCATTCTTCGTGGTGCCTCCCCGCTCCCCCCAGCTATAACGGGCTATCTTATTCACATGTAAGCTAGACTTACAACTATTCTCCACAGATTGTACAGATATTCAAGACGTTTACATTGCAATAAATCGTAGTCACAATTACCCTCCCCCGAGATACCTTCCCGCTGCCCCAACTCCCCCGAGCGTGGCGACTTTTCTTGTGCTGTGTTGTGTCATCCTCTGGGAGTTCCCTTCAACCTTCTGTTGTTTGCCTCCCGGTAGGCTGCAGCTGTGTGTGTGCCGCTGCCCGAGCCTGCGGCACTAAAAGTTCACGTGGCAGCATAGTGTATCAATTTGTGCCGCGCTGTAGTCCCTGAGATTGGCACTTGTTGTGTGTTGTTAGTCCCCAGTGTGTATGCAGTGTGTGTGTTGCGAATAAATGTGTGTTGTTGGTGCGTGAGGCGCTGCCAGTGTTGCAAGGGCAGCGTGGGGAGTTATAATGTCATAGTCACCTGCTTGAAATCAATAGTCCTTTCTCGTGTTCCTGTAACAGTCCCGCATTCTGTTGTTCGTGGGTATTGGGAGTAGCTTATGGCATCTCACGCCATTTTCGCTGCTTATCGTGATTGAAATGTGTACTCCTCCGTCAGGGTCGCAGGGCCTTAGTTGCGTACTCTTTTCCAGTCGGCTGTAAGCTTACTCGGTTGTGGGTCGTTGCTGCTGCTTGCCTGGTTTTGGGGTTGTATACCCCATTTCTGCAGTGTTTTCCGTCCATCCGCCAGAGAGGTGATAACGTGCATAGCTCCATTTTTATGGATGAGGAGACGCATTGGGTGGCCCCAGCGATAGGGCACCTCATGGGAGCGGAGGGCATCCGTTATTTCCTTATACTCCTTCCTTTTTTTCAGGGTTTGGGCAGAGAGATCTGCATATAGTTGAATGGAGTTGTATTGGGCTGGGAGGTCTTTGCGGATCCTAGATGCTCTCATCAGTGCTTCTTTCGCATGATAATAATGGAGGTGCGTCAGTACATCCCTTGGCGCTTCAGCTGGGAGAAAGCTTGGTTTGGCGACTCTGTGCGCTCTATCCAAGAGCAAGACATCTGCTGGGAGGTCTGGAGCTAGTGTTTTGAAGTAAGCCGTGAGGTATGCCGCTATTTCGGGCTGCTTCACTGTCTCAGGGATCCCCCTGATCCGTATATTCTGTCTCCTTGACCTATCTTCTAGGTCCATGATTTTATATTGGCAGGACTCCAGCGCCTGTTCGAGGTGGTGGACATGATCTGCCATGTCATTGTGTGCGTCTGCATACTCGCCCATGCGGTTCTCCATGCGGGCTGTTCTTTCACCCAGCTCCTGCACGTCTCTTCTTAAGTCTGAGATGGACTTGTTGAGGCTGTGTAGCAGTTTATCAGACATTTCTCCCAGGCATGCCTGGAGTATGTGCTGTGTGACCGGCAGGTCTCTACCCCCAGGGGATTCCTGCAGTGGCAGCGTGTCGTCGCCATCTTGGCTGTGCTCTCCTGTACCCTGGGCCTTAGTTGGCGGATTGCGGGCGGAAAAAAAGACGTTTTTATCCGCTTTGTCGGGGATCTTCTTCCCTTTGGGTTGGGCCATGCTTGAGGCTTGGTTCGGAGGTTGGTGCTGGTCACTGTCGCTGGTGATGTCGCTGTATAGGCCAAAACAGAACGGAGCTCGCCTCACATGCGTCCGTTCGCGCCGAGCGTTAAGCCACGCCCCCCCATCTTAATTATTTTAGTCGCCTAAATCTCAAAGCATTTAGTCAACTAAAATCTGGCTAAAATTGTTAGTCGACAAAATGAACACTGATGTAGAATTTTGTTAAGTCTCTTGCATAGAACTGTTCCATTACACACTTGAGTTCTTAGGATTTCTCCATTGATTTTTGTTCTGTTTCCCAGAGGGTGGTGGGGATACCAGTGAAGTGGCCCAGATTTGTGTGCTTGGTTCCATATTATGTCTTTAGATGAGTTAGGCGTTCAGAAGATAATGAATTTTGAAAGGCTTTTGTAACACCCCACATAATGTTCCATACCCCCGAATAACCAAGTGTAAACTATGTGTCCTCCTCAAATCTATGGTCAACTTTTGGTAATATCGTATTGCATACTATTAACAAAAGATTGGTAGATTTTCTTCCTGGACATTAAGGTGGTCTTGTATGAAAAAATTTAACTTTGTCTGTGCCTTTACTACCAGTTTGTCAGAATAAATTCTTATATTATATCTATGTGACGGGTGCCTTTTATTGAACCAACCATTACTGGAAGGTTTCAGAGTTCAGTAAATGATTTATCTCAGATTTATACATTCTAACGTTTCATGACGGAGACACTTGTATTTCACAGTGTCACTTAGGGTTAGGGCTGGTTTGAAATTTTCATTGCTGCTAAATAAATTTTTTTTAAAAATGACATGCTATAATCCCAAAATATTTTCAAAGACAGATTTCTAAAGATATTAACTTGGGTGTAAGCATGTTACAAGTGTATGATTGTATCAAACATTCTATAGTTAAAGAATGACACTGTATTAGGAAAATGACACAAAGTTATTTGGGTCATCTAGTGCGAAGTCTGCCATCGATTGCACTGCAGTTCAATATATTGCTTGTGTACAAGCAATCCACGTACTGTGTGCTCTCTGCATCAGCCTGCAGGAAAAGCAGGGATATGGGTATGTTATGGGTGAGTGATAAAATGCAGAGAATGTAGAACAGTTATTTTATAGACTCAAATCAAATATTAAGACCGTGAGGCTGTGTTGTATAAGCTTTTCAAATGATCAAAATGTGATAGAACATTTTTTTTTTAAAGGATTTGTCTACAAAACTTCCCATTGACTTTAATGGTGACTCCGAAGATAAGTATTTTGAAAAGTTTTTAGAACAGTGATAATTTGAAAAGCCTTTTCAAAAGAATTAAATTGAGGCATTCGTTCTGTAAGTCTAAATGTGGTTAATTACCAAATACTTGCTTGTGTTTTCCATCTTTGTGCAATATGTTGTTTCTTAAAGTGACCAGTATTGATTTTAAATGTGTTTCTAGCCCTTTAGTGTTCTCATGCCATAGCTTCCCTTTTCCCTTATACAGGAAGTTGATGAATTCTTTGAGCAGGAAAAAATCTTTCTAGTGAATTACTACAACAGGATCAAGGACTCTACCGCCAAAGCTGACAAAATGACAAGATCTCAAAAAAGTACGTGAGCCACTGAAGTCGCCTGTCTGACTTTACACTAGATTTGCAGTAAAATTAGCATTGCTGATGTGAGAGGGAGAGCATGCAAGTTCGATGCTGCCTCTCTTTCCATTTCATTTTATTATCTGAATCAATGTCTCTAGAGCATCCATTATGCCTTATTAGATGAATATTGACTACATCATTGTATCTGTTAAAGGGGCACATCAGGCAGTTTCACTCATGTGATAATATAAACATATCTACTTGTCAGGCTCAGAGCAAACACATTTATTTAATGAAAGAAAATATTCACAACTAATCTTCCTATCTGGACAGGGTGTAAGGAACAATGTGCACAGCATTCCCATTAAAAGAAAAACCGTATCAGCTTTTTCTCTGCATGTCCTCCGAATACAAAGGCAGTAACTTCTTATCTTTATATTTATATAATTTTTCTTTTTGAATTATCTAAAAAAAATTAGAAACAAAGGAACGCCTCTCTAGGCTTTTTAATGATTTCTGTGACCAGTGTAGGAAATACAATGACAAAAACCCAACTTGGGTACTAGAATGCTTTAATTGACAAGTGATGTACTGATTTCTGTCACCTCACTGTTTCACAACTTTTATATACGTTCCCTTGGTGTCCTGCCACACAGCTAAAATGTTTCCTGTGCTCTTTGTTTGCAGATGTTGCTGATGATTACATTCATATTTCAGCTGCTCTGACCTCTCTATCGGAGGAAGAGAACACAGAGGTCCGAAAGTAAGCATTGCTGGGAATTGTGGGAAGAAGGAATTTAGTGTAGGAAGTCATATTTGATGGCTTCCCCTTTGCTGAATAAACACATTCCACAGAGCGGAGGGCTAGAAATCCCTGCATGCAACGCTTCTTACACATTGTGCATGTTATCAAGGCTACATGCATTTCCAGAGCCATAAACACAAGAAAACAGGCAGTTTAGGGCAACTTGTGTTTTTCTGTGATTGCAAAGCACGTGAAAACAGCCACCAGAGGGCGACGTTGCTTTAAACTGTGTATCTGTGGTTGCAACTGGTGTATAAAAATAACTTCCTAAGCTCCTCATCACATTATTATTATTATTATTATTACTGGTATTTATTTAGCGCCAGCATATTCTGTAGCGCTTTACAATATTATCAAAGGGGGAGATTTAACAATAAATGAGACAATTACAAAAACTTACGGAACGATAGGTTGAAGAGTGAAGCAGGGCTGGAAGAGAGAGTAGAGTGCTGCCCATTAGGAGAGAGTAATAGATAGGTGTGTAAGGTAGAGGTTACTCTGGGAGGCCATAAGCTTTCCTAAGAAGATGGGTTTTGAGGCACTTCTTAAATGATTAAAGACTAGGGCAGAGTCTAAGGGCAGTAGGCAGGCTATTCCATAGGAAGGGAGCTGCCCCCGAGACGTCCTGCAAGCGTGAGTTGGCCGTACGGGTGTGAGCAGCGGACAGGAGGGGACCGAGAAGGGGCATATGTGCGGATCAGTGAAGAGATATAGGAGGGGCTAGAATTGGTCAGTGCTTTATAGGTGTGGCTTGAATTGACTCCTATAGGATACAGGGAGCCAATGTAAGGACTGACAGAGGGGAGAAGTGTGAGAGGAAAATCAGTGTAGCTGAAGCATTCGTTACAGAGTGTAGTGGGCAATACGACTTGTGTGAAGACCTATTAGGAGAGAGTTACAATAATCCATGCGAGAGATTACTAAAGTATGGACAAGCTCCTTAGTAGCATCTTGCTTAAGAAAGGGATGGATGCGGGCTATGTTTTTAAGGAGGAATCTACAGGATATGATAACAGACTGGATGTGAGGCTCAAATGTGAAGCCACCACATTGAAGGGAGAGGGAGAGAGGAGTATTAATATTGGTAGGTGGAAAGACCAGAAGTTTAGTTTTAGAGAGATTGAGTTTCAAAAAGCGGGAGGACATCCAATCAGATATGGAAGAAAGGCAAGCAGTGACACGTTGCAGAACGGCAAGGAAGAGATCTGGGGAGGAGAGAGATGTCTGGGTGTCATCAGCATACAGGTGGTATTGGAATCCAAATGAGGTAATAAGTTTGCCAAGAGAGACAGTATAAAGAGAAAATAGAAGGGGACCAAGTACAGAGCTTTGGGGGACTCCAACAGAGACAGGATGAAAGGAGGAGGTATCATTAGAAAAGGAGACGCTAAATGAGCGTTGGGAGAGATAGGATGAAAACCAAGAGAGGACAGTGTCACAGAAGAGTCAAAGGCAGCAGAGCGGTCAAGAAGGATATAGAACAATAAAGAGAGATCTATGTTCATTTTTAGTTGTCTTAGCGTTGGGCTGACACAGTGGCCATCTACCACTAAACAAAGTAAGGCTTTACACATTTCTTCTTTTTTTAAGTTCCCATCCTCTACTTACCTCAGACAACCATAGGGAAAAGGCGTACCAAGGTCATATGGCACCCAGGGCAGAAAACTATTTCCACACCCCTGATCCCCACCCCCTGTCCAAACTGTACAAAAACTGTTTTGTTTGGGAAATTACACGCACATACTGACATTCATATAACTACATGTTCATATGTACTTACATTTATGGATATGCAACATTAACTAATATCGATTTTATTTATTTTTTATTTATTTATTTTAAATGTATTTATTTTTTTTCCATAAAGACCGAAGAGTGCATCTCCTTTTTTTTTTATATATATATATATATATATATATATATATATATATATCTCTCTCTCTCTCTCTCTCCCCCTCTCTCTCTCTCCCCCTCTCTCTCCATACAGACATTGAGATATATATATATATATATATATATACACAAGGAATCATATACACGCCCAGATTCACATATGTATATACATACAAACTCACACTCACAGCACTGTAAGAGTACTTTTAATATATTCCCCCGAAATAAGGTTGTTAAAGTGGGATCCGTGCCAATCAGGTGGTTAAATGCTCTCGGACCCAATACTCATAACGTCGCAGAATGGGACAGGCAAATGGGAGGGGGTATAGGAAGTGCGGTTGAATGAAAAGGGAGGAGGGAATTGTTAGAAAACTTCACCAGGAGCCATTGTCACCATTGTACTCTCAAGCTTGTGATGTGCGAGAAGACCCCCCCCCCCTTTTTTTTTTATTTTTTTTTTTAACTATTCTTCTTGATGGTTTCCCATTTTGTCAACTTCTACTTTGCCTATAAAACAAGTCATTTCTTTGTCTTATGATACAGTACATTTTGATTGGATATTTCCTGAAGGTTTTTTAGTTTTCTGTTGGTATTCCCTCAATGAGTAGAAAATAAGCATCCCGTCTACTTATTCTACTCTATAAGGTCATCAGGTCCACACATGCCAAGGCAGGGATTCTCCAAGTCCGTTAGACTTGGCAATTTATTATTTAAAGGGTTACTCCAACCCTTATCAAGGGGAGGTTATCACGTCTTTTATGCACTGAATTGACATTGGCAGTCCGGAACAGAGCAACTAGCACACAATTACAAATACCTCAGTATGTGCAGTGTTTCAAGCTGAAACACTGCACATACTGATTCCTACCACCATGACCACTTCAAATCACTGAAGTGGTCATGGTGGTTGGTGTAACTCTATATAATCTGCTCTAAGATTTGGAGATTTCCTGCTTGCTGACAGTTTATAATAACCATGACAGTGATTTGGAACATCCTTGCATCATAATCCCTGCAATGGTCATAGGTTGTTACAGTATATATTAAATCTTTTCATAACTTTGCCTCTGAATTAATATCCTTGCTCAATTTCTACCAGCCTTAACTACATATATGGGCTCCAGATAAAAAGTAACAGAGTGGAGCTGTCTGTTGTGTTCAGTAGTAAAATATCCGGATTCCTCCTTTGTTCTTTCCCAAACATGGCACATGCGCAGGAATTTGAATGGGGCAGAAGAAGGCAATGATGTTTCGTCATTTCCCTGGATCTTCAAGATGGCAGTGCTTTGGATAGAGCAGAGGTTTCCAAACTTCTCATGCTATTAACACATTTTCAGACATGCATCATTTCGCGACTTGGCAGCACAGTGCTCTATTTCTTGAACACGCCACTTCAGTTGCAGCCAAATCGCCAGAAATTATGAAGAACTAGCGGTTTCGAACCGATTCCGCAGGCAGTGCAGTACATGTATGATCCCTCAACCGCCTCTCTAACACTCTGGCCCTTATTCACAATATAGTAATATAACATACCCAGCCCATGTTGGGTCTTCTTACCTTATATATTGTTGCTGGCTGGCAGGCTGCTGCGTGTGTTTGGCTAGTTAGCTGGCAAGCTGGCTGTGGCTGGTGGGCCTCTTTCTAGTCCCTCCAGCCCTTCTGTATGTCTTTGTGCCCCCTGGGCCCCTCTGTGTGTGTGTGTCTTTGTGCCCCCTCTGTGTGTGTGTCTTTGTGCCCCCTGGGCCCCTCTGTTTGTCTGTTTGTGGCCCCTCTGTGTGTGTCTCTGTGTCCCCTCGGCCTCTCTGTGTGTGTGTCTCATTGCCCCCTCGGCCCCTGTGTGTCTCTGTGCCCCCTCGGCACCTCTGTGTGTGTGTCTCTGTGCCCCCTCGGCCCCTCTGTGTGTGTGTGTGTGTGTGTGTGTCTCTGTGCCCCCTAGGCCCCTCTGTGTATGTGTGTGTCTCTGTGCCCCCTTGGCCCCTCTGTGTGTGTGTGTGTGTCTCTCTGTGCCCCCTCGGCCCCTCTGTGTGTGTGTGTGTCTCTCTGTGCCCCCTCGGCCCCTCTCTGTGTGTCTGTGCCCCCTCGGCCCCTCTCTATGTGTCTGTGCCCCCTCGGCCCCTCTCTGTGTGTCTGTGCCCCCTCGGCCCCTCTCTGTGTGTCTGTGCCCCCTCGGCCCTTCTCTGTGCCCCCTCGGCCTCTCTGTGTGTCTGTGCCCACTCTGCCCCTGTGTGTGTGTGTGTGTCTGTGCCCACTCTGCCCCTGTGTGTGTGTGTGTGTGTCTGTGACCACTCTGCCCCTGTGTGTGTGTGTGTGTGTCTGTGACCACTCTGCCCCTGTGTGTGTGTGTCTGTGTGTGTCTGTGACCACTCTGCCCCTGTGTGTGTGTGTGTGTCTGTGCCCACTCTGCCCCTGTGTGTGTGTGTGTGTGTCTGTGACCACTCTGCCCCTGTGTGTGTGTGTGTGTGTCTGTGACCACTCTGCCCCTGTGTGTGTGTGTCTGTGTGTGTCTGTGACCACTCTGCCCCTGTGTGTGTGTGTCTGTGTGTGTGTGTGTGTCTGTGACCACTCGGCCCCTGTGTGTGTGTGTGTGTGTCTGTGACCACTCGACACCTCTGTGTGTCTGTGACCACTCGACACCTCTGTGTGTCTGTGACCACTCGACACCTCTGTGTGTGTGTCTGTGTGTCTTTGTGCCCCCTTGGCCCCTGTGTGTGTGTGTGTCTTTGTGCCCCCTTGGCTCCTCTGTGTGTGTGTGTCTTTGTGCCCCCTTGGCCTTTCTCTGTGTGTCTTTGTGGCCCCTGGGCCCCTCTGTGTGTGTCTTTGTGGCCCCTCTGTGTGTGTGTCTCTGTGCCCCCTCTGCCCCTCTGTGTGTGTGTCTCTGTGCCCCCTCGGCCCCTCTGTGTGTGTCTCTGTGCCCCCTCGGCCCCTCTGTGTGTGTGTGTGCCCCCTCGGGCCCCTCTGTGTGTGTGTGTGTGTCCCCTCGGGCCCCTCTGTGTGTGCCCCCTCTTTTTGTCCACTCCCCACCCCCCACTTGTGCCCTTTTTTTGCCCACCCCCTCCTCTCTGGTCAGTCAGAGAGCCACTAGAGGCCCTTCCCAGATGCCAACGGACTATGAGTCCCTTATATGGTGCTGGACGTCCCAATGCTCCGCACGAGGGCATCCAGCGTCAGTGAAATCCCCTATGGGAAAGACTATATTAGCTTGTGGTGCATGTGCATTAGCCTACTCCGTCTGAGTGCTGACCCAGCGCTGAATGACATATATGCAGGTATTGGGTGAGTAAATAAAGGGGGTTTTTTTTGTTTGTTTTTTTTCAAACCCTTAACACATTGGGGATGGCCGCGAGGGAGAGGAATGGGAAATAGAGGGCACTATAGAGGACACAGATTTGTATTCCTAACTATAAAATCCATTTTAAAACTTGAAACATTCTTTAACTCTACTTCTTTGTCTTTTGTGTTGCAAATCTATTGTCATTTGATCAGGAGTCACTGTTTAAGGAAAAACTGTATGGAGTCTCTTTGCATCTGTTGCAAGAGAAGAAAAAAACGTACTGGTGTAAAAGAAGTAAAACCACAGGATGGATTGTATTCCAGTGCATAGCATGTGTAAATAAAATAAATAACTAAATCCCACATGCTATGTTATTATTTAACCCATTGGGATATGTCTTTACTCTAGAGTCGACTTAACTTTATCATGTGCCCATTTTAAGTCTGTAGTTGTTAAGAGCAACATTAAAATTAATGTAATAGTAACAGATGTTTTTAAAACCATGCCAGCATTGACCTACAGTAGACTAAAACGGTTTGACCCATCTAGTCTTTCTTGCAGAGGAGTGTCAGTGCATCAGTCATAGCCTGTCTAATCAAAACACTGCCTGTACCACAAATTTTAAACCTCCTGTTTCAGAATGCGACATTTACTTTGTTCTATCTGTGAGTTCTGTATCTGTATGGCAGGTGGAGAGATGCTACAATACACATTCCCTTGCAGAGTCATGCTTTTGCACTGTAGATGCAAAGCAGGGAAACTCTTACTTTCTTAACGTTGAGCTCTGTAGTCATCACAAAGAAATAGGAAAGGCTAATCCTATATTTTCATTTTGTATAATTAAAGGTCTGGGAGCAAAAAACACAAAGAGAAGATATATTGTAAGGAGTCCCATTTGGACCTGAGGAATTGGTGTTGCCGTTAGTATAGCCACTAAAATTAAATTTTTAGTTTTCTTGTTTTTTTTCTTCTCATTCTACATGCTTGATGATATAGAAAAAGATTGCTCTTTGATATCACAAATTACCTTGGGGTGGCCCTCTAAACCCCATAACCACTACAGTTTATTGTAGTGGGTATAGTTTATGGAGTCTTAAGGTTGTTAATGGAGTACTGAAACATGCTTTGGGTCCTGGGTAAACAGATTTTTACTTTTTACTCGCATGCTGCTGTCTAACATACTTTAACAGTTTCCTTAACCCTCTTCATGGATTAGTGATTGTTTAGGTCTTCAGAAATCTGTTTTTTCCAAGAATACTATTCCAAAGTGGAGTGCCCGCCTGTAATTTTGACAGCAATAGTGGATGAGGAACATAGTGTCATGATGGCAAAGTGTAACATTTGGCCCTTAATGAGTTCATTTCACTTTGAAACTGGCATCAGATATGTCATCACACGTTTAACCTCCTATGTTCCAGTTTGTGTCACCCTCTCTGTGTCACATATCCGAGTAATGCAAGGCTGAAACCCTGAAACAATGTTTAGAAAAGGTCACTTCTGTACATTGCCCTGTGTGCAGATATCATACACTACAGGGCCTTTGCTGGTATGATGTGCAAATGTTTACAAGTGTTTATTTTATCTGTGTTGGAACAAACCATGTAAATCTAAATAGGAACGGCTAGCACTGTTTGATCACCCACGGGAAAATACAAAGTCCATTCCGTAGCAAATAGGCTAGTCCAGAAACTAGAGTTTGTAGATCCCGTTCCTGTAAAAGTTTAACTGACTTTCCAACATTACATGGAAAGAGTTCTGATATCTGCACTCTGTAAGGAAACGTTGAAATATTGGTGTGTGTGGTGCTTCACTGTTTCATGGTATAGAGACAGTTGGGGTCGATTTTGTGTTTTATATTTATTTATTTCTATTTTTTTTTTTTTTAACGAAAAATGTTTCTTCCCAAAAATGTCTTATGTACGTTTTTACCAGTTTCTTACCAATTCACTTTAAAAATGTCAACTTCCAAATGCTGATTTTAGAAGCTGTATAGCAAGCTATAATGTTGCTGCATTTGGACGGTGCAGGAAACAGCAGTGTAACGAATTCAGTAGGTTTAGAGGGGCTTAGAACATAGTCTGCAGCATCTTGAATGCCAGTACTCTCAAAACTATGACTTTCAGCCAGGCAGCACTAGAACGTCCTAGGAAAACCCAGAACATACTTATTGATTGAGTGTGCAACTCCTCACCGGAAGACTTATGCATGTTGTATCCTACTAATACTACAACATTGACTGTGGGGCATTCTCTCTGTATGACTGCTGAATGCTCATTGTTTTCTGTTTTTACATCCATACAGAAATGCAAAACCCATGATTTACTAATTAAAATACTAGTGAATATCGTGCAGGCATTTTAACTTTATCATTGATCTCCTAACCTGATTTTTGTGTTAGAAAATGGTTTGACTGCTTAGATTTGGGGGACTTCAGGCCAATCGAGAGCTTACAAAGTTCATTTAAGAGAGGAAAAAAATGCCGGACCTAAATTATTAGTCTAATTTACAGATACATTTCTGTAAAATATACACACGGGGGGCGCGACAGCCAAGCTTTCCAGACGTGCCTTGCTAGAGCTCCGGCGCTGAGGCAAATCCTGGCAATAAAAACAACAAACTTACCCACCAAAATTGGGTAATGATGCTTTGGGGGTTACCCACAGCATCTGCAAGGCTACTGATTGAGCCAAAAACTCATAGCCTAGACAGATCACCTCAGTGAGGCACTAGCGTCCTACACCGCACTGTAAGAGGGTGGGAGACGCGGCCGATCTCTCCACTTGCAAGCACCAAGAAAAGCGACAAAACAGCACAGACCCTGCTCCCCCTGCCGGAGAGGGATTTCCCGGCACAACACTAGAGAGTTAACTCATTGACCCCTTGCACTGGCGTGAAAAGCTCAAGCTAAGACAACACTGTGTGCTTAGGCCTCAACTAGATGTCGGATGCCACATGCTCCTCTGCTAATGGAGACCTGCCATACACCACCCAGCCTTCTGGCAACGAATCAGCGGGCAAAAGCAGCAGTCCACACCTAGCAGAGTGGCACAGCAACTCCCTGACCCACCTTCGACTCCCCGCCAGCAGCCTGTCAAGGCATCACCGTGGACAAGCACTAGATTGTCGCAAGCTCGACCGAGCGCACCACATACCCAGAACAGAGGGACTCGCAAGGGGGCACCTAACCGGAGAAAGCTCTTGAATACACAAAACAGCCGGAAGAAGCCGGGTCGGATGCCCATCTCACACTCCCTAGAGCAATACTCACCTTCCGCTTGATCCCCTTTCCACAGAAAACACTACTACACCTGTGAACCGCCACCAATGTCTTTCTAAGGGTGACAACCCCTCCATGAGACAGCTCCTGATCCATGGCCAGGCTTCCAACTGATGGGATGAAGCTGAACCCGTGCAGGGCATAGGCTAGGTGGAGGGCAATCAACGAGCCTCATTACCCGATATCCTGTAACAGCAGTACCCATATTAAGAGACATTCCACCTCAAACTTATGTCTCCCCTGACCCACCATATGTATCCTATTTGAATGCCTGGCATACTTAGCACATCATGCAGAATCCATGCCATAGCACTACTTAACTACTTTACTACAGTTAATCGATTAGCTTAAAGGACCACTATGGTGCCAGGAAAACATACTCGTTTTCCTGGCACTATAGTGCCCTCAGGGTGCCCCCTCCCGCCGGGCTGGATGGCGAGGAAAGGGGTTAAACTTACCTTTATTCCAGCGCCGGGCGGGGAGCTCTCCTCCTCCTCTTCGCCTCCGATCCACCTCTTCGGCTGAATGCGCATGTGCGGCAAGAGCTGCCCGCGCATTCAGCCGGTCTCATAGGAAAGCATTTGCAATGCTTTCCTATGGACGCTTGCGTCTTCTCACTGTGATTTTCACAGTGAGAAGCACGCAAGCGCCTCTAGCGCCTGTCAGTGAGACAGCCACTAGAGTATTTGGAGGCTGGATTAACCCTAATATAAACATAGCAGTTTCTCTGAAACATAACATTTCTCTGAAACTGCTATGTTTATAAAAAAAAAGGGGTTTAATCCTAGAGGGACCTGGCACCCAGACCACTTCATTAAGCTGAAGTGGTCTGGTGCCTAGAGTGGTCCTTTAAGCAACCTATCTAGACAAACACCAGCAAGCTATGCTTTAGCCTGTGTTTCCAGAAGCATGCTTTAAATCATATGCTATCACCTTTATCACTTCTCAGCTCTGTTCTTTAACTCGTGTTACCCACTAGCTCTTCCACCTCCTAGAGCAGTGCTCCTGTTGTCTTTTTCTTGTTTCCTACTTCTTAAAAAAAAAAAACAAAAAAAAAAGTACAGTCCCTCTCTGACATTCCATGTGAGGCCTACAACATGAATATTTTAATGAAAGGTCTACCAGAGCTTGTTTGATACTCTGTGCACTACAAAAATAAATAATTATTAAAAAAATATACACTTAGATTTACAATTGTCTAGTATGTTATCTGCTACATGTTCTTTTTGAGTGAGGTTACGTTCCTTCACTACTCCGCACACCTGAAATGAATGCTGTGTGGGGGACCGAAATGTTCTTAAAAATCTGAATATTGCGGAGAGTCCTAGACAAAATCTGCATTGATGAAGAAGGTAAAAAATATGGGGCCATTGTAGAAATCACATAAGTGCTACAAATTCATGTAAACAATCGCTGTACCACCAAGTTTTTTTGTTCAGTTTTAAACGTTCATGGTGGGTTTGTGGAAGTAAATGAGAAATAAAAAGCAAAATGAAGGCAGCTGCTCAGACCATATGAATTTTTTATTTTCAGTCGGAATCTTTTTGGTATGCAGTGGTCTGCACAGCCCAAATTACAAGAATCTATTGAGACGTTGTCACGGTGGATACAAGCTTGTATATGTGTTTTGGCAGTTGTGCAAGTTTCTTAATCTCTACCATGAAACGCGGCCAGAAGGTTCCTGTGAAACTTAACTGCTTCAGTATTTATTTATTTTTTACCATATTTCAGTGCCAGAATTGGAACTTGTCTCATAATGTCCTCTAGATACCTGATGAAAAGAATGTGTAGAATATTTGCAGCTGTGGCAAAAAGGTAGCTCTCCATCTGTGATAGAACTAACCTGCCAAGGTGTAATTCTGTGTCGGAGGGGGATTTACCTGTTAACCCTACTTGCTCTATGCATTTATTAGCGGAACAACTTGATCACAACAGGTGATGTCCAAAAGTACCACATTATCCAGCTCATCCTTTTATGGGGACAGTTTGTTGGACTGGACACAAAAGTTCCACCCATCCTGACACATGTTCTTTGTCTTCTTTTACGGACAGAATGTCCTCATTCCTTTACATTGTAATCTGGTGTAAATCCAAATAACACTTTGCCTAGCCTTGTGACACATTGTTTTGGCTCTGTGACATGGGTAGGGTCGAAAAGGCAGTGAGATTCTATGCATTTACATAATGATCTTTGCATCCGAGTCAACTTTTTATCAGATTATTTATTATTTACATTGGTATTAGTTTTACATGAGATTGTACATAGAATGTCATGCAAATATATTGCATAGAAATCTGTATATGTTGTGTTAAAACCGCAAGTCTCATTTTAGTTTATTTTGATGTTTGTTTTTTTCAGATATTTGTTGAAACTAGCAGAGCTGTACGAAAAACTAAGGGTGAGTGATTTTCATAACTTCTGTAACTTTTATTGTATGATCTGCCCTTTATTTAATAATTTAGATAATTTTTTCAAACCACCGCATACTACACAGTTGGCACTGTCACCTGTGCATTATTCTTCATAATGTACGGTTTGACAATGTACAGGTCAATGAGTCTGTCCATTTACTTAGGGCTGCAGACCTGTTCCAGTGTACCTGTTTGCTGAACATTTCTCTTGTATTCTACCCATCTGGGACTAGTAAGAAACTAAAACTGAAATGAAGTTGAAAATAAAAATAAGCGATAATTTATTTATTAAAGTGTCTTTGTTTATCTAGAGGTACGAGGGCAGTCGAATTTTGGAAGAAAAGAAAAAAACAAAAGATGAAAAAAATAACCAAACTAAACACTACGAACTGTTTAGTGAATAAATGCCTTAATTCTTAACGTTGGATTAGTTTTTCCAGCAAAAGGTTGACTGCTCAGTTGGTTTCTGCTAATTGGAAGAAATGCTTGCTTGACACAGGAGTGTTTGGCTTAGTACCAAGCAGAAAAGGTTGTGTCAGTCTCTTGTTGACACTAGGCTTCACAAATGATTAGCTTGTGGCCCCGTCACCCAAATCAGGGCCAGAAGGGTTTAAGAGCAATGAATCCCGTCATTCTGCCAGTTTCACTTCAGTAGTTAGGGCAGCTATAAACTATTTTTTTTGTTTTGCCTGCTCTGAAATAAACCTTTTTGCGGAGATTATAAAATACTCCTGCATTTTGATAAATGTTTTGCTGTAGAGCTGTATTTTTAATTTTTTTAAATTTTGTTTGCCTTTATGGATTTGCATGCAATATATATCATAACAATCGCAAATTGTTTGCTTGCTATTGGACTTTGAAATATGAAAGATTTATACAGGTATTTGCAATTTTGTGCCAGGGATTTGTTGCACCCCCAACACGAGGCTGCCTAAAAATTTTTAAATCTGTACAACAGACTTGGTCAGCTTCAAAATGGAGGGAGGCGGAGGGGACTTTCAAGCTTTTACCTTGCAGGCAAGTTCCCAGCAGTTGAATTGGCCCATGCCACACTTCCTCCCCTCCCTGGCTCAGAATATGCATATACGCTCTGAACCTGGGAGAACAGCCCAATTGAATGCTACTCTATGAAGCACTTGATTGGACCTCTGAGAGGTAAAGTGTGACATCAGATGGGATGTGGAAGGCAGCATGGGGAGCATCACCTGGTGTTGGATTCCAGGTACATTTAAAGCGTATAATGTTGTGTTTTTTTTTTATACACCTACAACTTAGCTTTACATTGTGAATAATGCCCAAAAGTGCATTCTGCATTATATGAATGGGTAAAAAGGGATGGAGTAGCCCTTTAAGATGCTAAAGCTCTCTAACAACTTTGACTGACTGACTGGTTGGAATAGCACATATACGCTTGGCCTGAATATAATTCTTTGATATTCAAGTCTAGCCCAACTCAAGTATTCCCCCAAAAGGAACATAGACTCTTTTGAACAAGGTTTGCACATACTGTGCTCCTTGTTACCAAACTGAACAAACTATTTTTAGTGGCAGATACTGAAAGATCACCTACTGATTGATGGCTTTAGCTCTTTCAGTTTAAAGCAAAGTTTTTCTGGCCTTTTGGTTTTAAAATATCCACTCCATGTTGTGTTTTAATAAACCTCTCCGAATTTTCATTTACTCTTTATTTATTTTTTTTTAAATCTCTTTTTAGAAAGTAGAGGCCAGAGTTGCTTCAGATGAGGACTTGAAACTGTCGGAACTTTTAAGATACTATGTGCTTAACATTGAAGCTGCCAAGGTAATGTATTTAATTTATAGAAGCAGTAATAATACCAACATAATAAACCAGTAAAGTTATATTTTAGATTTTTCCTAGTTTCCATTTCCATTCTGGTGTGTGGCTGGTATTAAACTTAATGCTATTATTTCATCAGTCATGGAGAGCTAAACGTTAGTTGACCAAATATGTGACTCTGTGATGCTACATATGGAGCACTATCAGTTTAGCTATTTCTTCCTCTTCTGTACTGCATGTTTCTATTTTACAGACCCTTTTGTAAGATCAGGCAAAAAATATGTTTTAGCTACTGTGAGAGAGAATGGTCCAGGTGCTACTCTAATTGGAATGGAAATAAGTGGTAGAGCATGTACTGGGTGCTTTAGTCAGCAGTGGTGGATCCAGACACACATTTCAGAAGGAGGGGGACATGCAAGATAGCTTTGTTGAAATGAGGCAAAGGCAATCATTGCATTGTCTGTAGAAATCACAGATTATTAACACACTAGCGCAAACAGAAGAGAATAACTGAAAGGCAGTTTGCACATTTTTGACCAAAGTAGCAAAGTTGAAAAACTAGTTGTTGTTTTTTTTGGCCTAAATTTACAGTTGGTTTTCCAGGTCACAACAACTTATTTGTTTAATAGTATTTTTGAGGACCCAGCTAGAAAAATACTAGAGCAAGCTGGGCATGGATAGTTAGATTACACATGATTCCTTGAATTTTAAGCTGTTTTGGGGCCGAGCCCTCTAAACCTACTCTTCCTGAATGTCAGACGTGCTTTTTGTTAGAATTTCGTATAGTAAAGGGCTGCGGATAATTTTGAAAGCGTTATAGAGCTATTTTTTTTTCTTTGTATGTTTTCCATAGTCATTAAGCAAAAATGTCTGAAGTATATTAATAATATTTACATGTTGCAGTACCCTGGACAAACCAAAAAAGTGTAAAAATGGGCCAAATAGTAGTTTGTTTTTTGTTTTGTTTTTAAAAAAGGGTTTATGGACAATATGTGGCCGAACCAAATTGCCACATAGTCGATTACTTGAGGTAGATTATTTTTTTAATTTTTTTGGAATGCGATTTCAACAAAAACTATTTTATTAATTTACTTTATATATACAACACATACATACTGTTTAGCCACAACATTAAAACCACTGACATGTGAAGTGAATAACATTGATGATATTGTTACAATGGCACCTGTAAAAAATATTAGGCAGCATGTGAACAGTCAGTTCTTGAATTTCATGTGTTGGAAGCAGGAAAATGGGCAAAAATAACGATCTGAGTGACTTTGACACGGGCCAAATTTTGATGGGTAGATGACTGGGTTACAGCTTCTCCAAAATGGCAAGTCTTGGGGTATGTTCCCGGTATAGAGTGGTTGGCACCTACCAAAAGTGGTGCAAGAAAGGACAACTGGTGCACTGGCATCCGTTCCAATCACACACAAGCCACTGTAACTCAAATTGCTGGACAACTTAATGCAGACCATAATAGAAAAGTGTCAGAACACACTGTGCATTACAGTTTACACTGGCCGGTCAGAGTAATCATGATGACACCTGTCCACTGCGAAAGCACCCTCAATGGTGAACAAGACCATGGAGCAATGAAAGAAGGTGTCTAGTTTGAACTACTTTTTCTTTTAGATCAGGTGGATGGCTGGATGTGTGTGCATTGTTTACCTGGGTAAGAGATGTAGCAGGATGCACTATGGGAAGAAGGCAGGCTGGCGGAGGCAGTGTTATGCTGTGGGCAATGTTCTGCTGAGAAACCTTGTATCCTGGTATTCATGTTGATATTACTTTGACACTTTACACCTGCCTAGAGATTGTTGCAAACCAGCTACACCCCTTCATGGCAATGGTGTTCTCTGATGGCACCCTGCCACACTGCAAAAATTGTTCAGGAATAGTTTGAGGAATGTGACAAAAGTTCAAAGTGTTGCTTTGGTTTTAATTAGGGGTGCACTGAAATGAAAATTCTGGGCCGAAACCGAAAATTCAGGATGCCCTTGGCCGAAAACTGAAACTGAAAATGACTTTTTTTCCCTAAAAAATTTTTTTTATATTAGACTTAATGAATTTAATTAATCTAATATGAAAAACTTCCCTTCTCTTTTAGTGGTCCCTTGCTTAATGTTTCTCTCTCCCCCCACTAGTGTTCCTTTCCCCTTCCTCTTTTTTAGTGTTCTTTCCCCCCTCCTCCCCAGTTCCATAGTGTTCTTTTCTCCCCTCCCCTGTTTGTCTTTTCCCCTCCCTCCCCTGTCCCAGTGTTCTTTTCTCCCCTCCCCTGTCCCAGTGTTCTTTTTCTCCCCTCCCCTGTCCCGGTGTTCTTTTCTCCCCTCCCCTGTCCAGGTGTTCTTTTCTCCCCTCCCCTGTCCCCGTGTTCTTTTCTTCCCTCCCCTGTCCCGGTGTTCTTTTCTTCCCTCCCCTGTCCCAGTGTTCTTTTCTTCCCTCCCCTGTCCTGGTGTTCTTTTCTCCCCTCCCCTGTCCCGGTGTTCTTTTCTCCCCTCCCCTGTCCCGGTGTTCTTTTCTCCCCTCCCCTGTCCCGGTGTTCTTTTCTCCCCTCCCCTGACCCGGTGTTCTTTTCTCCCCTCCCCTGTCCCGGTGTTCTTTTCTCCCCTCCCCTGTCCCGGTGTTCTTTTCTCCCCTCCTCTGTCCCGGTGTTCTTTTCTCCCCTCCCCTGTCCCGGTGTTCTTTTCTCCCCTGTCCCAGTGTTGGAACAACTAAGGGCAGTAGGTATTATGACCTGTGGTAACAGCATTTTAGCAGCCCAGCCAGGAAAGACACTGGTATGCCATCTAACCATAGCCCCTACTTGCTGCCCAAGTTCTCAGAGAGTCCATCCCGGTCTTCCCCTCGCTGACAGTCCAGGCTTCAGTCGGGGTTCACGGTTGCAGAGTTGTGGACCTGCGCTCCCAGTAGCATTAGTGGAAGCCCTTCCATTCAGGCTTGTCGTGCTGGAGACAAGGGAGCATATCTTCTTGTTGGTGAGGTGAGCGGTAGTGGGAACACCTTGTTGACTGAAGTGGAGCCGTCCACCGGTGCAGCTTTTTACGCCATCTCCTTTGCGGCCCCTTTCGGTAGACACGTGTGGGATGTTTATGCCTGCGGTAACAAGCAGCAGGACGGTTCCGGGGAGCCGCAGATTGGTCGGCGGGAATGGGTGCCTCTTTTTACAGAACAGAGCTCCGTAGAAGGTGCAGGTGCGGTCAGGCGCTGTATGTCGCGGTTCCTTGCATGTTGGCCCTAGTGGGACTGTTGTCCCGCTGTGTAGCAGGGGAGGTGGGTGTAGTGATTGCGGTTCTGTTTAGTGCCTCTGATCGTGCCTCCCCCTGAATCCGCCTCACTCTACGCTCCTCCCCATAGTGTTTTTCCCTCCTCACCTGTCCCATAGTGTCCCCACCCCCCAGCCAAAATGTTGGTGCACCCCTTGTTTTAATGTTGTGGCTGACCACTATACTTCACACATTAGGCAGCCAACATAAATATAACCAACAGTCCACACACACATATAATACCAGAGACAGGACAAGCCGGGCACCCATACATAAGACAACATGTAACCTACACACACAACACCACAAACAAACATATGCACAACACCACATACAGCCCATATATACACTTGCATAACACCACAGACCTCCCACACGTATACAACCTCATCAAGCATACTCAACATATATAAATACTACCCCAATACAAATAGGGAGAGTACCTTAAAGGACTTATAAGTTTTATTTGGCACAACACTACCAAAAGGTTGCCTAGCCCTGCCTCAGACTGTCCTCTCATTTATCCATATGTACAGTGTGTCAACTGCCGGAGTTGGATCTCATGATATATCTTGGTGATCTTTCGATCTGGGAATTTTGTGAGGAGTGACTGGCTTCTGCCACTCGTTGCACCTCTCTGGGGTATTATTAAAATTAAAAAAATCACCTGCAGAAGCTTGCCTGACTCAGCATGAAGCGGCACACCAGGAGATTTCCTGGGTTCCCAGTGAACCAGTCTGGATTTGCGTTGACATAGAATAGAAAGAAAACTGGTGCAAGACAACAGAATAAATTACTATGACCGTCAAATGATGTATGTATAATGTATGAAGTGGTGATTATGTAGAAGAAAGTTATTTTTGTCACACTTTATCCAGATGGAGAGAAATCCCAGCAAGTCTTCATTTTAATTGGGTGAACGCAATCTTTTCCCTTTTGTAGGACTTGCTGTACAGAAGGACCAAAAGTCTAGTTGATTATGAGAATTCAAATAAAGCTCTTGATAAAGCAAGATTGAAAAGTAAAGACGTGAAACAGGCAGAGTTGCACCAGCAGGAGTGCTGCCAGAAGTTCGAGAAGCTTTCTGCATCTGCAAAGCAAGGTATAATGGAGAGAGAGAAATCTCAGCTTAAGTGTTATTACGTTCTATAACCGCTCTGTCTTTTAGTTTCTGTAAGTGAGGCAGCATTCTAAATGTGGACCAGAATCCATGAAATGTAGTGGAATGTTGATACTGTTTCCATGGTGACTGCTCCTCTTAGAACTTTGTACCACTTTTCTCTTATTTTTCTGTATGCTGTGTGATTGTACAGTTCCTTTCAGAGGTAGAGAATATAAAAGTTGTTGTGCATGAATAGGATAGTAGGCAATGTGCCACACGTTTTATTCTTGAGTACCTAAACAAGTTTGAGGTATTGTTAAATAAAGATGCTTGCAATAAATACAAAATAAACATAAAATTAGTATTACACTTGCCTTCGCAATAAAACATGGAATAAAAGTAAAATAGTTGCTTGTACTGGTCTCTTATGTATGGGAATTGCAAACTAAATTAAATTTCGTTAACTATATTTAAAACGGTTTCATTATACAGTCATTTTCTTATTAGATGATGAAAACCATTAATCAATATTCTCTCAAAACGCTATTCTCTGTTGGACATCTTTGTGGATTTTTATTTGATGTTTAATCAGAACTGTATAAAAATCTCAAACCCCGACGTCTTATGTTTTGCAGAGCTGGCTGGATTCAAGCGAAGGAGAGTGGCCGCTTTTCGCAAAAACCTAATTGAAATGACAGAATTAGAAATTAAACACGCAAAGGTTAGTACAGCCACCCTTTTCAAACCAATCTGCAGTTTCCTAAATTTGTTTTTGCGTGCTTTGATCCCTTATGTATATTCCAAGTCCATGCCCCAGCACATATTTCCAGAATGTACAATAGAACTTCAATTTCAGTACAAATGGAGAGCATTGTAGCCAACACAATTGTAAATATGCATTTACATTGATCGGGAAAGTATCCTAGATAAGCAATCTATAAAACCAATAACAATACAAGAATTTAAGCTTTTGCAGGATTTAAAAAAAAAAAAAAAAGATTTTGCTGCAGGGTACAACCAATTGTCAAAACCAGATTAATGTGGCAACACAAATGTGAATGGAAGAAAATCTCTCTTGACTGGGACCCATTGCCCCTAAGGTGCCAGGATGCTTGTATGCACCAGCATCAGAGACTGCTTCAGGATATTTTAACCTCTTGCAGCATTGTAACTTAGTGCTGGGAGGAGACGATTCAACATTGCATCCTTCAAGCAGTGTGAGGTAGTATTCCATGTGGGAGAGACGGTGAAGAATGCAAAGACAGCCTGAGAGAGCCTTATAGAAATGTACACACCATAAAAGAACACCTATATTAAAAAAAGCATGCTGGTTTAGACCAGTGCTGCCACATTGTGTGGCTAGTTATATATGTATGGCTATCGGATGTGTTTGAGAGAGAACGGCCATCTTGGTATTTGCATGTGAGAGTGGCTTGGTAATAACTAAGATTGAGATTGGTTAAATGAGTAAAATAACAGTTTATTATCAGTTCCCCACTCAGGTCTAATACAGGTTTTAGCTCACTTGTACTATTATAGAGAGAACCTAAGGCAGTCGCATGTCGGACTCATCCCATCCACAAGGGCGGTCCAGATTTGTAATGCTGGAATGATGATTATTTGACTTACTTTAGACCTCTTCAGTTGGGCGTAGCTGATACCCCTCTAGACACATCCACATCAGGTTTACCTTTATGACTTGGGGAGATCCTAGTCCTATACAAATAAGCCGCACATAATTTATTAGAACATGTGTTTGTGTGAGTGTACATAAGAGCGTGATAACTTGGCTTATACGATTTGAATGAGAGTATAGCGAAGGTCCAGTTTGGAAATTTTTGTCCTAGCTCATATATTCTATTATCAGGCTTTGTATTGTACTGAAATTTGTTCACAAGTTGCCCAACCTATTTTTTTGACCTTGGATGCACTGGGGTTTTTTTTTTTGTTTTTTTTTAAAATGGATTTTGCAGCAAGATAACATTAAACATTTCACATGTTCATTTCAATCAGTCAGTTTGGTAATTTCTGCCAGCACAATAAAACGCAATGCAGGACTTTACAGTGTGCAGTTTTTGATTTATTGTGTATAACTTACAAAGTTACAGAGTTGCGTTAATGTCCAGTTGTTTAATATTAGAAAGAATCCTGAATGAATTTTGTTAAAGTGTATCTTTGTGTCTGGACTGTCCACTGAATAGCGAACCGCTACTGTGCATTATGTGTGACCACGTGAGTAGATAATTAGGCTGGTGAGTTTTAGACCCCACACTGTATGGTGTTTATCCACTAAACACCAAAATTGTAGTGAATTTAAACATTTAGGTAAAATAGCCAAATCTGCTATTTTTTTCCCTTAAGTATTGCAGTTTTGGTTTTCAATTTACTACAGTTAGTATTTTATGGAGTAAATGCCTCTTGGTTTAGGATTGATCTTGATGGATTAAAGCAATTTTTCGTTTGCGTTTCTATTGCATTACTTGCCTTACTACAACTTACATTTATGAATAAGAAGTGCTGATGAAGTATGTTCCTGTTATTTAGCTGTTGGTACTTAATTTGATCTGTGATGTTCTGTACTCTTCATAGAATAACATGGCTCAATTACAAAGCTGCATCGAATTGTTTAAGAACAGTTAGAGGATCAGTTACTCTCAGGAAAGACAGATGTGACCAACAAGCACCCATTGCACTTCAGATATCCGCCATATTCATCAAAGAAGTGGAATCTTTGCAACTGATCAGAACTTGGTGTTTTTGAAAAAAAATTCTGTCATGAATTGCCACTTAAAGGGGAAGTATCCTTTATAATGAGAAAAACATATGAGGTCGTACTTGTGATTAATACAGGGAAGAAAATATATTGAATGTTGCATCGCTCTACTTTTGTCGAGTATTGGAGTGGTATATAAAGCTACTTTTTACATCGACCCGACGTGTTTGATCACTTGGCATTGGGGCAACATGAATTAACTAAAATGGTGCCAACTTGCCTTAAATGGATAATATATTCATAATATCTGAGCAATGGGATTCTATACGATTTTAATTGTCTAAAAGCTGCGGCACGTTAACCACAATGTCGACCTCTGATATATATTTTTTTATTATAAGTTATTACTTTCCGCTGACCATTTTGTAATGTTTGTAATACTTATATCCAAAACTGTCTGAAAATATTTTCTTAATACTATCTTGGTAAATTGTTAAATGTGTTTTGGGATAATCTATCAGCTATAGCGAATATTTTGACAAGTTTAGCTACATATATTGAAAATTATATTTTTCATCTTAAGCCTCTTTTCAGGAAAATAAACATACTTCTACTTACATGACCTGCTGAATTGTATTTTTTTTCCATCTTTTATTTGCATGTGCAGTGATTAATAGCTGTCTTAAATGGCTTCTGTTTTGTAGCAAAAAAGTATTTGACTGTCTTTAATACTAACTTGATTGCTTTTCCTATAGAGCCACAAAGCATTACTGCTGACCCATCAAACAAAAAATAAACTAAAGGAAGACTATAAGCACCCACACCACTTCATCTCAACAATGATGTTGAGATGATCTTCGCAGTTCCACAGCCGTTTTTGCTCTTGCAGTGTAAAACATTGCCGTTTCGGAGATACGGCAATGTTTACATTGTGGAGCTGAACACCCCTCCAGTGTCTGTTGGTGCCTCCAAGTCCACAACCGTCAAACACTGTTCTTGATGTTCAATACACACAGCAATCCACATGCTTAAGTCCACAGTGCTCATGAGAATCATTGCTTGGATAAAATAATCATCAAGCCTGATTACATTAACTGAAAGTAGATCAGGCTGCAGAAAGTAGGCTGTCTTGACACTGGATGACAGGTGAGTAAACAACTGTAACTATTTGGGGGAGGAGGGGAATTATAAGGCACTATATAACGCTAAAAAAATGTAAAAGTAATTAACTCCTTTTTTGTGAGGTCTTGTCAAAATACATTAACCCCTTAAGCACGCATGTAAGCTCATCGAGCAGGGTCCTCAACCCCCTCTGTTCCTGTGCGTCAGTGGTCTGATCTCAATTATGTGTCTGTTCGTCCACCCATTGTACAGCGCTACGGAATTTGTTGGCGCTATATAAATAATAAAATAATAAGTGACATGTGTGACATGTCGTGATTCCCTTTTATTCCAGAAGTTTGGTCCTTAAGGGGTTAAAAGGAGAAAAAAACAAAGTAACAAATACCTTACAAAGTGTCCTTATTTGCTGCAAATATGCTGGCAGATATCTTAAGTAATTGAGAGAGATCCTGCTCAATTCTAGACTTTTTTTTTGTACAGTTAGAGTACTGTGTATATTCCTGAAACCGTGCCTGGCTAGCATATATTGGATGTGTATTTCAGCAGTTTGGAGTTTTATTCATTACCTGGATAAAGATACTTGACAAAATATTGGGAGCTAAAGCTCAGTTTCTTTTTGCTTACTGAGTAGCGTCATTCAATGAGTAATTTGCAGACTCTGTACAGGATTTCTTATTGAAAGCTGGGAGAAAGCCTGAGTTTGTACTAGTTAAGGTATTTTTTTTTTTTTTTTTTTTTGCTGCAGTTTTATTGATCAAGGAACTTCTTCCATTATAAGTACAGTTCTACTCGTTACGCATAACTGTTATCCCTGAGCCTGCTTTGAATTAGAGGAGCGGACCTGTCATCGAAAAATGTGTGGATAACAATCTTATCTTCAAACAATTAGTAATGTAGTTTAGACACTGCACTACTGAAATTGATATCCATGGTATAGATTCAAAGCAAAAGGGAAAGCATTGCACACCAATCTGGTAAGTTTAACTGCTTATACTTTGTGCTCTTTCTTTTTAACCTTTTAGAGCTATGGGCATGTGTTTTTATGTAAAAAATAATATATATATATATATATATATATATATATATATATATATATATTACACATACACCAAAAAGGTTATGGTGGGGGAAAAAATGTAATTGAAAACCCCTTCCACCTGAAGTCTGTGGATAGTTAAAGGGACACTCCAGGCACCCAGACCACTTCTTCCCATTGGAGTGGTCTGGGTGCCAACTCCCACTACCCTTAACCCTGCAAGTGTAATTATTGCAGTTTTCATAAACTGCAATAGTTACCTTGCAGGGTTAAGTCCTCCTCTAGTGGCGGTCTATCAGACAGCCACTAGAGGGACTTCCGTGTTCTTAGAACATGAAAAGTGTGTTATACGACGCTGAACGTTCTCACACTATGTGAATAATGCTTTCCTATGGGGAGGTCTAATGCGTGTTAGGTCTCCCCCGCCGGCTGATATTGGTGGGGGATGAGAGTAGACGGCGCCTGACCCAGTGCCGAGGGACATCGGCGCTGGACTCCGGTAAGTCACTGAAGGGGTTTTAACCCCTTCAGCAACTTGGGGTGGGAGGGAGAGGGACACTACAGGGTCCTGCATTGCCAGGAAAACTAGTGTTTTCCTGGCACAGGAGAATCCCTTTAATACAATGTTAAACAAAAATCTGCACACCAGTCAAGCCATCAGACTTGCTTTTCCCACAAAAATCACAAATTTGCAGTGATGTTACTACCGCAAAGGATTCTGGGTGGAAATATGCAAATTAGTTTAACAAAGAATAAAAATTTTGCCTCATTCCATTTTAAACATTGATTCCTTTTAGTATGTGTTTGCTGTATACAACAGCTTTGAAACACAACTGAGTAAAAGATGCAAAGCCAGTGGACCATTCATGGACAGCTGTTTCATTGTTAATGCAAATCATCAGCATGAGGTTGGTTACTGGTTTGCTATTGAGGCTTGGTGGTGCTTGGGAAGCAAAGATCAAAAAGGTTATGTACTCACACACTTTTGTGTGTGAAATTTATTTTATTGTGACCAGTAGAAAATGTCTGGGATTAACTATGCAAAATATAAACCTTTACAATTTGATTTGTCCTCCTCCCTGCCGCCCTGCCTCCCAATACCCTTCACATTTAAAAAAAAAAAATTTCTAAGCTACAATTTCTCCTTCTTCCCTCCCCCTATCCACCCCTATTCCCTCCTCTTACCAGGTCAGGGCATGTACATGTGCACTGAGCCAGTCAAATGGTGCAATCAGATGCTTATCTATGAGAATGTTGGGATGGAGCATGGAAGACTCTCGCCTGCCTCTGCATTACTGCATAACCGGTACAGATTACAGGTTTTTATTGCAATTAATTGGGAAAACCTACCTATTGTACTCTTTAAAGGGTCACAAGAACATTCCTATAGTGGTTATGGTTATGACAATAGTATCATCTCTCACTTTTGTCTGTGAAATTATTCCCCCATTGGATTACTCCGCTAACGCAGTGAGTGACTTTTCCTATTCACGTGAATGAGAAATTACTGAGCGTGTCCATATGTAAACAAAGTGTACATGCAATGTGTATGTTCACTAATATTCCCAGAGAAACGTTTTGGAAAGGACCAGGATTGGCTATGAGATCTCCAATATTCCTTGACATTCATTGTCACTGCAAATGGATCAGAGTCCTGGAATTTGCTGAAATATTTTCAGATTTTATTTTATTTAAAGGAGCACTATAGGGTCAAGAACACAAACTTGTATTCCCGACCCTATAGTGTTAAAACCACTATCTAGCCCCCTTCGTCCCCTTTGCCTCCCTAAAGATAGTAAAATCTTACTCATATTCAAGTCTAAAGCTGCTGCCTCTGCTTGTGAACTTCCTCTGACATCATAAGAAGTGGCAGCCTGATCCAATCACAGTGCTTCCCCATCGGATTGGCTGAGACTGACAAGGAGGCAGATCAGGGCCAGAGCCAGCACAATTCAACACAGCCCTGGCCAATCAGCATCTCCTCAATGAATATCTATGAGGAAAGTTCAGTGTCTGCATGCAGAGGGAGGAGATACTGAATGTTTGGATGTATTTTAGGCAGCCATGACCCATGAAGGATCTCGAACAGCCATCTGAGGAGTGGCCAGTGAAGTTATCACTAGGCTGTAATGTAAACACTGCATTTTCTCTGAAACATAGTGTTTACAGAAAAAAAGTCTGAAGGTAATGATTCTACTCACCAGAACAAATTCAATAATCTGTATTTCTTTGGGTGACTATAGTGTCCCTTTAACATATCAAATCATTTGTTTGGTTCTCATGGTAATTTCTCCACCATTAAGTATTCTGCTTTACACAAACTGAACCCAGGAAACCTTGGTAATATTTATGATTACAACAATTGCAACATCTCTTCTGATATTACGGTATATTGCCCAATACCTTGGAACAAAACATTATCCCCTAAATCAAGGCTTGTATAAAGTCCACATGTTGAAGTCCTGTTTAAAGACACGGTTTAATAAAGTAGTTGTGATATAGCTTAACATAGTCCGTGTTTATCTCTGTACCAGACAGGGATATTTTTTGGTTTAGAAATCTGCATTATGCATAGAGCTTTCCTGATTACAATGTGCTATACACATACTTGTAACTAATGAATGCCTTTTGAGAATATAAAGTAGAAAATGAATGAGGTGGAGTCAACCCACCAGATGTAACTAATAGTTTAATTTGAGCCATATGACAAGATATAACCACTTCGGAGCTGCTCCAGAGAAGCCTTGCTCCTGTGCAGTACAGCTGTCT